GAAAAAAAATCATGTATATATCTTTATTAATACAGAAGTTATAGATTTATGAGATGAAAATGAGTCAAAGTTCCCACTGTGCGCCGCCTTGTATGACAACAACACACAGACCACAATGTTAGGGGCATATACTGGTAAATACATGGCGGCATACTGCGAGTCCGTGGGGTTCGTCACGCTGGACGCGGAGGAGACTAGGAAAACCGGGAAGCCGAGTTTCCGCGCACCCCCACAGGATAATATCCTGTTGGTCGCGGCATGCACAAGGATTATGTTGGACGACAGGATCCTGAGCCAAGCTGATGCGAGGTGCAGGGACTTGACCGGGGACATATCCTTTGAAGCGTGGAACATCCCAAATATCGAGTGGATAAACGGCGTCCCGGGTTGCGGGAAGACTACGTGGATCATCAACAACTACGACCACAAAAAGGACATGATTGTCACAACCACCGTGGACGCGGCCAAGGATCTAAGGAACAAGCTGGAAGCCAAGACAACGGAAAACACAGGAGAAAGGGTGAGAACAATGGCCTCTTTGTTGGTTAACGGCAAAAGGGACAATACAAATGTGTCCCGCATCCTAGTGGATGAAGCCCTTATGAACCACTTTGGGGCCATAGTGCTAGCAGCAGAAATGGCCAAAGCAAAAGATGTCCTGCTTATTGGCGACGTAAATCAACTCCCCTTTATAGATAGGCATAACCTATTTGAAATTACCTACGAGCGACCTAACAAATCAGCAGGTATTACTAGGGAGTTTCTATGTACTCACAGAAACCCCTTGGATGTAGCGTGTGCCCTGAGAGAAGTATACAACGGGATATACTCGACCAACCTCCGGATTAGGTCGCTGAGGCTCATGGAATACGACAGCAAAGTCATACCATCGGACCAAAGCAGGACTCTATACCTGGTTCATACCCAAGCGGAGAAAGCAAAGCTAATATCCGAGGGATATGGAATGGACGAGGAGTCTAAAGTGCTGACGATTCATGAGGCCCAGGGACTGACATCGGAGAGGGTTATTATCATCAATACTAGAAGTAAACCCTTGGAAGTGCATGGCAGCTACTCTCATGCCGTGGTAGCCATCACCAGGCACATAGGCGACTGCGTATATTATACGAGAAATCGAGAAGACGCAGTTGCTCGTTTTATACAAGAGGCCGAAGGCGCGACTCACTCGGACATTCGTGAGTACTCACTGCAGATGGCGATTAAAAATAGAGACAGGGCGATTGTTGATGCGCTGATTGCGCTAAAATAATCAGCACATAGAAAACCAGAACAGCTGATGCATCGTCGGGGCGCTTTGGACTGGAAAGGCCGGAACATGCTCGCTAAAAGTATAAATAAAAAAAAAAAAAAAAGAAAGGAAAGGAGAAAAGAAGGAAGAAAGGAAAAAAGGGGAAAGGGAAGTGAAAAAGGGAAAAAAAAAAAAAAAAAAATTGCCGAATTACGACAAAAAGTGAACTGTGAAATTAAACAATCAATAATTAAACAAAACCTGGACTATAACAAATAGTGAACTTTGAAAATAGTGTTAAAATAAGAATTCATATAATTGTATAAGCAGTGTAAGAATTCATAATGTGTATTGTTACATTATGAATTCTTACATTGCACAATGTAATGAAAACTGTGAAATTAGTAGTAGTGTAAGATTTATATAATTATATATGCATATTGATAAATCTAATCTTCCAAATAAAGATGGGTGACACTGCATGTTGTCAACTCACCCGGCCGGCCAGCGGTGGTTCTGGGCCAGACGGATAAGGTCTGCCTCGGTGTCACTGTTAGGCAAATTGTAACATCTCGTCCGTGCCTTTTTTAATTTACTTTAATATTATAATATTTATTTAATTAAAAAAGGCACGGACGAATATATCTGTGGAAAAATGTATTTAAATATATAAAAAAATATTTTTATTTTATCTGAACATGGTTTACATACTAGTATAATTTATGGTTAATATTAATCATATGTTTCACTAGAAACTGGCATACTTTATATTGTAATAACAGTGATTAAACTTGGTATATGTACACATAGTAGTTGCAGTTTTTCAGACAACGAATTTACAGCTGGTTCATACCCGTCCGTGTACATACTAATACTACACATTTTAATAATTTTAGGCTGAAAGCCTAAAATTATTAAAGCCTAACTAAAAAATAAAAACGGAAACCTTTTGCTACATCTTTGTATTTACTAGTATACACGCTTGTTACTACATTTTAGGCTCAATATCGAAAACTACACTACTACTACTAACATTAAATTGCGATACTCGCCGCGCTGAAAGCACCCCATCGTTACTTTGCGTAATTGCAAGTATATTCGTTTCCCAACAGTGTGGATTGTAAAATTGTATACTTATATGGAATCGAGAAGGACATAGGTTTTTTTTCCGGTCCATACTGATGTATGCCAGTCACGCAGACGAAAACCAGTAGTTAATAATAAGATTGATACAGTGTTCTATTTTACGGCTTTACTACATGGTAGCATTTAGTAATATCCTGAAACATAAAATTGGATTAAACCGCTATAAGTCTATTAAGCATAACTGAGACTGGAATCTAATGTACTTGTAAATATATATGTATGCCGTTTTCAAAAACCTAAGAGGTTTCTAAGAAAATTAAAAAAAAGTATGTAATTTAATTAACAAGGACAATATAAACAAAAGGAAAATTAATAATGACATATTTATACAAATAATTGAAAAAATATTAAAGATAAAATAATAGACAATATATAAACTATATAAAAAAGCGCATCGTCCATAATATCATAAACAATAGTAATAAAGAAATGCCAATTATCCGTTCTGATAACCTCAATATTAATAAGAAACGAACAGGCCTTTACGTTATTGAAAACCTTGTTGACATAAACTTGCATTAAATTGATTCTGATATTAAAAAAATAGGTTTCGATTACACAAGAAGTCACCACGAGCAAGGTTCATTGTTACGTGATTACGATCGAAGCATGTCTCGATTAAGACCGACAATAGTATTGACATAGCTTGCCGGATTGCTTTACAAATCAGTTACGTTAGTATTGTGGTTTAGTTTATCAGTAGAAATTCATCTATTGAAACATTATTTCACTAACCTTAACTTCTTTGGCCTTGGTTTTTCCCATTACTTGAAATTAACTGTTCTATTACGCCATTCAGTTTCATTCATCAGCAGTTCATCGCAGAATGCATCACGTTGTCCGCACTAATGCGTTACCATACCTGAAAACTAAGATGTCATATCTCTCGTATTATAAAATTATAACAATATACACGACTTTTTCAATATCTACCTCGGGAAAGTTATAATACTTATTTCTAACGTCTAAACAGTACTTTTTTGTATGACATTATCTTCTTTGCCTTTTATTCACATAAAGGCATCTATCATTAGCTGATCATCATTACGTCGAAAATAATTTGCTAATGGCTGACTTTCAAATTACTCCTAAATCAATACAAATTATATTAATTGTTAGTTAATGTAATAAATAGAATATTGAATACTAAGTATTAGTAAATTACGATGTGTGACATAGGCAATAAATAAAACGGTGTCCCAATATTTTGTATTAAGCAACAACCTCCAGACCAGGCCTATTGAATATTTAATGTTAACCCACGAAAGACTGAAAATAGCATGACGGAAGACAAATATAGGTGCATTGAACATTTGTATTTATCTCCAATTGACATTAAATTTGTAAAATCATTTTGCGAACTGCAATGCGATTTTGTAACAATATATATAGAATGCTATTACACTTGGGCAAGCCATTGATGACAAGTTGGATGTAGAAATTGTATTTGCAAATAGTGGTGATCGTAAAAGGAGATGGACAAGTTATGAAACCTGACAGTACTTAATAACTTTGACGTACTTACTCATTTGCACATAGTACAAGTACATTAACGGATATAACATGCAAACTAAATGACTTCCAATTAGCAAGCAAGTCAATAGTTTCAAAATAGATATTTTCTTGAAATGTATCGTTTTATATTGGACAGAGATTTGAGAGAATATCTTTCTTTTATTTTAAACGTATTCGTTATGTTATTTATTTTCCACTAAAAAAGTAAGATTATTGATGTTTTTTCTAATAAGAAACATGTATTTTTTTATTTGCGTGGAAGTACTTTACTTAATTGTTTATTCTATTCGTTAAAATCATCAGAATCACGAGGTAAAAAACACATTTTTTCTAAAACATTTAAAATAACTGTAACAAATTTGAAAAACAGAATAAGATTAAAAAGAGACAAAAAGAAAAACACCAAAAAAATAGTTCACAACAATAACTGAGTAATGAGAAAGTATTCACACAATTTTCAATGAACTGATGGAAAATATTCATTCCGATGATAACTCCCGCATATTTCATATCGTGTGTGCTGCTAACATGGTATGGCACTTCCCAAAATTATGCATACCAATGACACTGGGGAGTATCATTCGGTTATACGAAATGAATACAAAATATTAACAGCGAAACTTATTACGTACCAAAATTTAACAATAATGTACAATATAGCAAAATATAACAACTTCAAAAACATGGATTTTTTATATGTGAATAATATGCTAACGGGCCACCAGATGAAAAGTAACCTAAGAAATTATATAATTATAAAGTACCTTGTATTACCTTACCGTATAAAAAATAACTATATACTAAAATATAACTATGATTTCTTTTTATTTCTGAGAGTGGAAGGAATGTAACCTCATCATACTTTGCCGGTAATCATACGTTCCCATTCCAGAGGATTGAAATATTATGCTTCGGTACCCTAGAATAGATCACTTTCCAACCAAAATATAGTTCAGAAAGCTGCTTTGCGGTTGAAGGATAAAAGGTAAGTAGCGCAGGGTATTTATCTTTTGTTTACAGCTTTGTACCACTGGAAAACGTTATTACACTGTATTTTATATTTATTAAGTTCACATTTTCATTGTTTCAGAGTGATACAATGGTATAAACTGAACAGAGATGCGGTGGTTCAGAAAAGGCGAGCCGCCGCGGTTGCTAGCCGTGTCGCCCGAAACTGAAACGCGCACTACACGCAGGTCCCGAATTGGTGAGTTTCAATCTCCACCTAAACTACACTCCGTATTTTTAATATAATATAATATAAATACAAATATGTTAATTCAGTTTAAAATAATGAACTGCTTTAAATTATTTTAATATAGCTCCGCTATATTTTGTCTTCTGAAAAATAAATAGTAGAAGTATCATTTTTTAAACTTATCATCAATGAACCTTATTATAGATATATTAATTTTTAAAATATCTACTATTTCACCGTTTTTTTTTTACTTTAAGCAATACATAAAAACAATTTCACTTTTATAATATGAGATTAGGAAAACAAAACAAATATTTCTATATTTTTATTATAAATGTTTTACCCTCTCGTCTATGATCGCCCTTAGTATCTATACAGTCCTGTTCATTTCGGTTTCATGATTGTCCCATTCATAGGAGTGAGTGCGATTAGAGACAAATACAATGTGATGAAAAAACACTGCTGTTTGGCAAATATTTTGGTGTGACTAATGTCACTGTAAACAAAAACTGTAAAAAGCAGACAAAATATAATATAAGAAAAGTTGTTTCCAACATACCCACTGTATATTATACACTCTAATTTAAAACAATATGTCCCTATATAATATGTAATTTTATACGATTCTCTTATGAATCTTTGGTACGCCTACAATAACAAATAAACTTATCCATTATCTGAGGTTATATCTAACTCAAATATTTTTATATGTTTACCCATATCATGCGAAGACGACATATGAGATTTCAATTTTTTTTTATATTCGTGTAATTGACTATTACACAAATAAAACAAAATTGATTTTAAATTGAAGAATTTTTCTGGTATAATTTAAAGATACGGAAGTAGTACATCTTTGTTTTTTAGAATGGCAATGATTGACTACGGACGACACATGGCCAACGTGATATACTGATCATGTATATAGAAAATGGCTGATTAGCATGATAGCTACATTTTGAAAAAAAAATCTAAATTAATATTCTTAAAATAAATAGCATTGTACTGCATTTGTCGCGTATAGTGTAAATTAATATTGAAATAATATTTTTCTGAATAGAAAGTAATTTTATTTTATTAAACAACTTAAAAGTCAAGTACATAAACAAGCCTAATGTTCATTAATAAGTAACTGAATTGACCTTCAATACACCCAATTTGTTTGCATAATTGACCTAATAGAGTTCTTGTTCTTAACCTGAGATATAAAAAACTACTGTACTGCAAGAATTAAAAAAACTAGAATTTTACGCAATGTTTCCAAATATGCTATTGGTTGTTATACTTGACATAAAAATATCTACTAGTATTCTAATATGCAAAAATCATAGGCTAATGTCCATCATTAAAAACAAAATTGGAAAGAGATAAAAAAAATAAGTTCACTTTTGCAATCGCGGAGATTGCAAAAGTGAACTTATTTTTTTTTTGGGTTAATCGAAAAACCATTTGGCACTGGAATTTTCAAGGGTGCCGTAAACCTAAAGGAACGAAAATAAAACAGTCATGTGTTAAAATTCTGAAAGAGAGTTCAATTCACAGTTCTCTGCAAATTCACTGTCATGTCTCAAAATGAAACACAGCTTTGCAAACTGATTGGCGGCAGAAATAGGTGAGGAAGAGGATTTGTACAAATTCTACCTCGGTTATTGTTATAAATACGACCCCTAATTGATAAGTTATCTGTATTAAATGAAATTAGGTCAGAGTCGGACAACCGCACCGCAGTCGGATACAATCAGTACAATGGCCGGCTCTGAAGTATAGTACCTACGTGTACCTAAATGACCTAAATACAAATATGATACTTAGACTAACTAACTATATATAAGAATATATTTGCCTTAAATTAAGCACAGTTACATTTAAAGTTATTGTCATATGACAAAAGTATTATTAAAGACATTTATTCCTAATCATACACTAAACTATATCGCCCACTTCCTACAGTAATCTAAGCTTAAACTCAATTTGTGTTGGCGACCAATGAAATTAACGATGTCTTTAACACCTACGTATTGAAATGTACATTGCTTTGTTTCCCTTTGATACATAGATAAAATTATGTAACCATATTATGTGCATTTCATAAGAATATTATTACTTGAATACTAACAAAGTTGATTACTCTTTTAATTTTAGTTCCTTCTTCTTAAACATAATTTCTAATACTACTAAGGACCTATTAAATAGTATTCCATAGTTTAGGAGGAACAATCAGTAAGTATTCAGTATGTATGTAATCCCACAGAATAGTTATTACTACTTATAATTTAATAATTTGCTTAATAAAGCAATAGCAATATCATAATATTTTTTATTAAGGTCTGAATCTACAAATAAAATGCTTTGTATAATTTAGATATATTCCCCAAAAATAAATTAGCCATCGTAGTAGCTTAGTCAATGCTGCATTAACCGAAGAATAAGCAAGAATTTAAAAAAATCAGTACTCACATAATTTTCACTTACAAATTACAAATAGCAAATATTTATTCCAAACCCAGTCAGTCGTCGATCAGTTTATATTGAATTCATTAATATCATTTCATATAAGTTATAACAGCAATATCATAATTTAATTATGGATAAATTTCAAAAAACATCTGTTTCAATAAATTACAATAATTTATATCTCATATAAGTTTTATGAATTTAATATTAAACATTCAAAATTACAAGAAAGTATTATAATTTTAGTATACTTAATATACATAACAGAAATGATTACAATGAGCACTGTTTTGCTATAAAATCATTACAGGCGCAAAAACTTTGAAATATTGTGAATATATACGATACGTATATATATATATACATAGATTAAAGAAAGAGAAGTAAGAAATTTGCTAATTGGTAAATTAACTACTTTTTATAAATATATACAGACTTGAATGAAATATAATATGTGTAATAAACAAAGTACAACTTTGTACAAGGTGTAATATTGTGACACTATTGAAATAATAAACGAACGATGACGAAGTTATCGCGAATTTAATGATCAAGTTGGAAAATTAATAACTTTATCAGATTGACTTATAGCCTGTATTTAGACCTATACTCGGACCCTCGACTCTTGAATGATAAGAATGTTTTTCTAATGAATATTCATGGAACTCAAAGTAAAATTATTCATATTTGATAATAGCAAGACTGTATAGAAATAAAATAATGCTTCTAGACAACTCGAACAGTGGTAATCGTATCAATATTTATTTTACGTAACCCAATTACAGTAGGTACAATTTAAATATTTTCGATCGATATTGGATATATATCATTACATACAGATATTAAATATATTCCTTAATTATCTTCTTAATTTTTTTATGTTTAAATTGTAAGTATACTTTCTTCTTCAACTTCATCTCACAAAGACATTAATTTTATATTTCAGATGTATCGCCTGCGCGCTATCCTCAGAGAAAAAGTAGTGGCAGTTCAGTGGAAACCAACTTCTATAATCTAAATGATCAAGTCATAATAGTCGAAAAATCACCTCATCGAAAATATGGTAGTAATGTTGACACCCCAATTACACGTCATATATCGCTACAAAGTGGTCCCACTTCACCGCAAGATAACTACAACGCTAGTCGCAGTAACCGCGGAGGCTCTTTGGAAAAAGAATACATGATTTATCGAGAAAAACGCAACCCATTACTGGACAAAGTAAAAAACACAAAACTGTCGTGTTTCAAATCAAATGGGCCTTTAAGACATGCTGATGATGCTGCATCTACATCTGGAAGCGATTGCAGTGGATTTGGACATATTGACGATATTAATCAATGTCGATACGCTGCTAACTACCAAGAAACACACATAGATTTAGATAATCAAAATCCGTGGGTTAAAATGCCAAATTACGACGATGATGTATTTTTTGCTAAAAGTGTGACTAGTCCTGTCGAATCTAATTGGAGAGAAAATAAATCTTTCTCCAATAGAGGTGCTAGATGTTATAGCTCTGGATCGGAGTGTGACCGCTATCACATTATACCGAAAGTAGGAGCAAAGCTTTCAAAATCTAGTGATCAAATTTTCAATGATGATTTTGAACATTATGATGATACACCTGTTATTATAAAATCTCAGAAAAAGACTGATAAATGTAAGATTAAAAATGAAAGAGATACAATTGGACCAAGTTCCTGCCTATCTGCTAAATTAAGAGCAATGTCAGATAGATATTTGAAATCGTCTACAACTAAAATACTATCAAAATTATATAAACAAAACGAGGGAAATGAAGAAGTAAATGGCAGTAACGATAATATTTTAAAATCAAGCAGTAGTAATAAAAAAGCTAAAAGACGAGGTGGTGTTAAAGCCAAACTGAGAAGCTTTTCATATGGTGCATTACCAGGTTTAGAAGAATTTCAAAAAGGCCATAATTCGGTATTTCACGATGATGTTTATCAGGTGTTTTGTGATGACGAGAACGCATTAATACAGGATTGCGAAGATGCTGACTCTGGTATCCTAGTCAACGAATCTGCAGCTTCTTCGATATTTGACAGTGACAGAATCTCATCTCGATGTGAGAGTTCAGCTTCACATATAAACCCGGTTCCCCCTTGCCATGGTAGAAGTGTATCAGGAGACCAAAGTTATATAAAAGTAAGAACTTCTGGTAGAAAGAGTCGAGATAGGAGTGATTGTCCTAAACCTAGGCCGCGACATACCCAAAGAGCTTTATCATTAGACCGCAAAGAAATACTTAGGCGTATGCCAAAGAATAATATCGATTCCGAACCTCAATATTTACAATTGACTGAAAAACAAAAAATGCGACAAAGGGATGGTAGTCAAGATTCTGGAATTCCTCCTATTCCACCTTGTAGAAAATCAGATAAAGACAAGTCTAACAAAATACATTCAGAATTTAAAGTGGTTAAAATATTGAGGAGAAATCCATCTGACGAATTAGGCATTTTTATTGCCAAAACAAAGCTATCAGATGAAGGTCATATAGGATATCTTGTTGCTCATGTCGTACCAGGTGGATTAGCAGAAAAGTAAGTACTATAAAAATTTAGTTGCCATAGTCACGTACTATTACTTACATTAAAAGGTATTTGTGAAGCCTAAAATATTTCTTCTCACCTATTTATTATTAATTATGTTTTTAGGTTTAACAATCGTGCTTTCGTGTTATTTAATTAACATCACGCTACCACTTCTATTTGAACCAAGATAAAATCCATTTTATAAATAATACACAGCACATATTTATTTATATTTTTTTCTAATATTAATATGTGTAATTATTTTTCAGAGAAGGCACTCTTCGAATAGGCGATGAACTACTCAACGTTAACGGCCGCCGTTTACGTGACCTCACTATGTCGGAAGCCAAGGAAGCACTGAGATCAGGTTCATCGGAAATAGATATTGTCATTTGCAGGCAACGTGAGAAACCACAGACAGACGCAAGACAAAGAGAGCAATCGCAACGGACTGCTATAATAATGCGCGAAAGTTCTGTAGATTATGAAAATGCAATAATATTAGGAAAGGAAAAACGTGTAGATAAACATGACGTCAGGATAGATCGACAGCGAACACAGGACGAGTCAGCTTGTAATCGCCGCGCGCTATCAACTGCGGACGAGGCGACCGACAACGCACCCGGCGCACACACACACTTCCTCAAAGGCCAGAACGCAAGCTACAGCAGCATGAATAACAAGCTGCTCCGCCGGCAAGTCGTCAGTTACAGTGGCGCGAATAAAGACGGGCTCGCACTGAGCTGCGCCGGTGATATCGTGGACGTTGATGTACCTGACGGTGTTTCGGAACGGATTAAAGAGAGAAACAATAGTGGAAGTGCAACACAAACCCCTAATGCGGCGAATTTCTGTACACTACCACGTAAACCGCGAGCACCGACGCACACTTATCATACTATAACGTTTGAGAAAGGACAAGGAAAGAAACCACTCGGCTTCACCATTGTGGGGGGACGCGATTCACCCAGAGGTCCACTCGGTATCTTCATTAAGAGCATCCTACCACAAGGGCAGGCAGTCGATAATGGCCAATTAAAAGCAGGTGTGTACACATAACTGTATTTATAGATTAGATAAAGTTATACTGATTGTAGATTCTGTAGACTTTGAGGAATGCGGTATGATAAGGATAGGAAGCCGTATTGTAGTCAACGAGCTAGTAATAATAATGCGCATAAAAGTATTAACTTAGTATAGAATTTTAGTACTCATTGTACGCTACGCTGAATAGATATCATACTTGACATGAATATTTATTTGAGGTTATTTGAGACTAGTTGAATTTAAATAGAATTGAAATAGATATATATTTTTAGTAACCGATTGAAATAAAACAAAACTAAATCTAATGCGAACCATATACAGCTGTGGGAAAATATATATATAGCACATAGACATAGAGACGGAAATAATAATAATTAATATTTTTTTAACGAAATATTTTTTATGTAATAATATATTTTCTCATATATCTGCCACATGCAGACACCCATCAGTTACATTTTTATTAGCTATTAGTAAACTATACGTAGTTGCATAAAGCGATGTGCACTCCGCGGTTATATGTAACTGAATTTTACATTTATATTATTAAAATATGTTTAAAAACGGATAAATAGATGAGTGGATGTTACTGCCATAAATATCTCACAGTTAATTACCAACATTGATACAAATGTTATCATAAACGGCATAATACTGCATTATTAATGTTCATGGTCGACTTACTACTATATGTCTGTTCTGTAAGTATTTACATTGCATTTGGAAGTGCACACTAATGTAATGATAATATATATACACAATTGTTACTAATAAATATAATATAAATGTCCTAATATTATAAAGCGAAAGTAATTATAATAAATCATATATTTTCACGAACGGATCTTAAAGTGAATTGATAATTCTTATCTCGGGGACGAATACAAGCTATCTATATCTGAAAACAAACCGGACGAAATTACGGTAATGGCTACTAAAAAAAGGACTTATAACCTCCATAATTAAGAAAAATTGTATTTTTTTGTATTTGGGATGATAGAAAGCATATCCTTTTTTTGTACCGTAATTAATAAGAGGAAAATAACTAAAAGATATATTTATCTTATCTAATTCAATACCTGACAATGAATGAAATTCTCTGAATATGAAATGATAATCATTGTTATGATGTATGAAAAACATTAAATGAATAAAAAATATTCATAATATATATAAATATATAATTTTGTACAATGATTTGCAAAGTGTTGTTGTTGGTTTATATGAATAATTTTACTTATATAGGTAACAGTTCTTTATAATAAACTAAACCACAAACAAAATATATTATACATGCCTATATTTATTATATATTAATAATAAATATAGGCATATATGGTGTAATTATATAGTTTCATTGTTTATGCAAATTGTCATACTTGTTATTAAATTTATTGTTTTGCATTATACCTAACATAACAATATCTATTACTAAACTAAATTTGTTAATAATATCCCTTTAAAGAAGGTTTTGAACACGTTTAAGGAAACAAGGATACTAAAAAGATTCTCCACTGTTGAAAAGACTTTCTTCTACTTAATTCTTATCGGAACAAAGTACCCGTTTAGAAATATAATTATTATGTCAATATTATCAAATGCCATAACGAGTGAATTTAAATGAATTTCACAAACGATTGGTTTTTTTAAAAAACATCTTATACATTTCTGGTAGTCATGAGCCAAAAATATTATATATTGTATTTGGAAGAATTTAAAAAAAAATACCAACACCTCTCAATTCATTTACGCCTATTACGTTTATTTTTATGATTTTATAAGCTGACCGTCATCCTGCTGGTAGATTGTAACCGTCGTTTATATGCATGTACCATGGACTACGGACATCACGTTAATAAGTGACGCCCAGGATACCACTTATGGGTTGTGTATAATATTATTGTCTTAAAATAAAGCATAAAAAGCAAGCTGCATGGCGCCTGAAATAGGTATCTAAGCAGATGACATCTTACTAAATCTGCCGCGTGCGTGAATAATAATATGGTGCCAAAAAATTTTTGTAAATTTTATACGTAATTTTTGCGGATGAAGGAATATGAAATTTCGCACACTTCATTAGTTTATATAGAGATGAAGAGAAGGATACTATTTGTTTTTCAATTACTTATACAAAATATAATACATAAAATTAAAAAATCATAATAATATTAAAAAATACACTACCATGTACATGAGACACACACGCACTCTTTTGTTTATTGTTTTTTTTTTTCTTTCTTTGGCAACAGGCTAGTGTTACCTAGCTAAAAAATTGTTTATTGTTAAAGTTTGTGTTCAATTTGAGACTAGATTAAAAGTTTTTGTTTTTAGTATTATTTGTTTACCGAATGTTAAACTACGACCACTAGTGAAATAAATGATTTAATAAGGGTTTTAATAATAATTTTCAGGTGACGAGGTGTTAGCGGTAAATGGACAAGCGTGTCATGAGTTGGCTCATATAGAGGCTCTCGCACTGTTTAAAGCCGTTCGTAATGGAACTATCGAACTGAGAGTCTGTAGGAGAGTTAAGAATGCACAGTAAGTATTTTATCTAAAGAATTTGACTGTAGGGATAGTGATAAAAAATTATGAGTTGTATGATAGGCCGAAAGGTCCTGTATGAGTATTTTTTTATTTTATTTGTAATTTATTTGCATATTTTTATGTAACTAAACTAAACGACTGGTAAACAAGGTGACGGCTTACCCGGCGGTAAGTGGGAATCGTCTCCCATATATATATATATATATATATTAATGGCACCATGCAATCAGGTCTTAAACTAACACCCAGGCTACCTCTTATATTATTAAGTTGCTATTCCAGAGCACTAAGATGCCATGGCTTCGTACCCTGTAATTTCACTGCCTTATCAAGATGCCCAAGCAGATGAGTTGTTCAAAATATTGCCTAGAATTTTTTTATCGTGAATCTACAAATTAGGAAAATTGTTTTTAATAATTCAAAATCAATATAAATAAAACTTAAGATACCAGTAATTTATGATAGTATAATTTTATAGTTTTAATTTGATATTCCATCAAGTTTACACCCATTTGTTGATGTCAATAATTGATTTTTTCTTTTCAATTCCAGATCTGCCAAAGCGAAATCCTGCACGGACTTACTGAACGATGAATAGTAGTTGTGTTTGTAATAATAATAATGACTATAAGTTACAAAACTATTTAATTATGCATGTTCACGTAGCCATATTATTAGGACAGGATTGTTAACACTGCAATTTCGGAATTAAATATAATTATTTTGTAATTTCATGTTGAAAATGTGACATGTTGTACTCATAGTGCAGAATTTATTAGTTGTTTACTATAATATTAACTTACAAAAAATTCTTAATAGTAAGTTAATATATATACATACTGTTGAATCTGCTATAAAATAGCTAATAACTTTCTTTAAGACCATTCATAAAATACGTCCATAGACAAGGCTAACCGTTTACCATCAGATGAACCGTATGCTTGTGCCACCTACGTGGTATAAAACAAAACGTTACGCGTTGAGAGTGATAAATTGTGACACTATATGTATTAACAAAAAACTTAAAAATGTTTCCAACTTCAACTGTTTAATATAAGATTTACATTGTTTTCTTAACGATTTAACACTCGGTTACAAGTGTAAAATTGTTAAATGTTACTAGGGAAGTAGAATTGTCACAAATTTAACAAGAATGGGGGGGGGGGTGAGATTCCTGTGACGTAATTTACGGATGGCACCTTTGCAAGAGAACGCACCTCCTCCCAAAGCCGTCGCAACCTAAAAAATAAAATTAGAAAAAGACGTTTCCTATGTAAAAGACGTTTCAAATGAATCCTATTTTCATTTCTTACATACCAAGGTTCAAAACTAAACGATTCCAACTACACGTTAACACTAATTGAGTTAAAAGTATGATGAATTCTGAAAATTAGTACAAAAAATTGTTTTAATATTAGTTTATTTTGTGTGATGTTTATGAGCGGAGGGGAGGTGCAATAAATTATCCCGATTACTGAACAATAGCATGCTTATGCGTGATCAAATTACGAATCAATTGAATTAGATGCATTATGACATATAAAAGATCTTACAAAATGTAATTTATGGGTAATCATAACAAAAGTACTAGATACTTATTTAAAAAATTTCCAAGACTTACGTAATTTCAACTACATAATGTCTTTTTACCGATATCACTACATTTTGAAAGGTTACGACACATATATAATCTAATGTGAGCACATATAATATAGGTAATATAGACGTAGAGCAAAATAGTCTGACGATTCTTTAAACGTGCCATTTTTATACTTGTGCACTTAATTTTCTAAATACTTATTTCTTCTTAAATTTCTACAATGACAAAACTGTACCTGATTTTTCTTTTCCCTTTTATTTCAAAGCTCAACTTAGTAGATACATTACTGAATAATTGTCCCAAAGATAACAATTAGGTATTCGTGTATCGTTAAGCATTTCCTAAATATCTTTACTGTGTTCGAGATAAGAAATGAAAACTATTTTATAATGTATGTAGTCTATGTAAGAGTAGACTTTCGTTTGCGAGTTGTTTATATCGTAAGAGTAATAGCAATATTTGAAAATTATAAATTCATATAATATTGATAAAACTAGTAGACTGTCAATTTTGAATGAATATGTATTTATGCAATGTGCAATAACAGCTTGTTAAATTTTATAGAAATGTAGGGAATGATCTGTCCACTGTGATTATTTATGAATGAATAGTATAATGTTTTATTTGATCAATGTGTATAGTGCTTTTGATTTAGTGTGTAATTATAATATATAATGGACAAATGGCTGATTGTAAAATTAGTTGTTTTAATATTTTTAACGTACAGACGATTTGGTCTTACATACGCTCCGCCTGATGGAAGGAACCACATCAATTTCTATAAAAGTAACAGCAATTTTATTACGTTGTTGAATCCTGAATAGCGAGGTATTGGCCAATCGGAATGGTTGTATATTACATTTTTTATCTTAATATGGATTTTGTTTTGCTTTCTGTATATAACAATATTGGTAAAACATTGAATGGCACTCCTTGCTAAGATTTATTTATAATTTTTGTAGATTTTATTAAGGAAAATGTATATTTTTGCTTATTCAAATGTAACGGGTTTTAAAAGCAGTCTGCAATTTGTAATATACTTTATGATATTTTGACAAAATAAATTCTCTACTAAATATGTTTATTATAGTAGGTTATATTTATATATGCTCAATGACCGGCTTGAATATAATTAATTTTGTACCTTCTTAACGTACGAACACCATCCTAATATATGTAACTGTTATCTATGAAAATATAACAAACATAATTCCAAAACCAGTAATAAAAAAAATGGTGATTAAAAAGAATATCTCGATATCTATATATGTCTTGTATGCAGTCTTATTTCTAAGTCAGTAAAAAAAAAACAAGATCGGTAAATTGTGAATCTTAGCATTGATTGACCCGTTAAAGTCATTTATCGTATATTATATCTAATTTTATTGCAATTATTATAAATTTCGCACAAATACAGTTTCTACTCGGAATTTTAAAATAAACCTAATTGGTTTTCTTCTCTAGTTTAATATATTTATGTTTGTGTATGTGCTTTGTATATGTTATATGTACAAGACAAATGTTGAATTGAATCGACTTCCACACCAGTGATGTTACAAGTTAAATATTCAATTTAACGTAAGTAATTTGTTCAAGTGAAATTCAATGCAATCACATTAAAAACTTATTGCTGGATTCGATAGAATATAACAGAAATTTGATAGAAATAACTTCCGGAAGACGTAAATATAAATGTAATAATACCTACTTACTATTATCTTGTGTATTTTTGTTACATCGTTTTGAATTAGATAATAAATGTTATAATACATAGGATAATAGTGACAATGTACTATTGTATAGAATATTAAAACAACTTACATTTATATTTAGATTGAAATTTTACTACCGTAGAGAATAAAATCTTTCTGTATGTCATACGATACCATTTATAAGTAGCGTTTATTTACTAAAGTAATTAGTTGCAACTGGTTGCATTGTTTACTGATTATTGGGATTACATGCTAATTTGTCTTGTATATGAATATACTACATGTAAAATGACAGATTCGTTCATATTTTATTAAGTAGGTATAGTTTGTCGACTTCATAAATAGCGTTCCTGAATGATAACAGACGTTTAAGACACTAGGGAAAGAATGTAATAAAGAAATTATAGGAAATCTATTTTTTCCCCGTAATATCCTTAGCCGCAGAGTATGTAAACCACTTCGGAATTTTGCTTTGTATGAACTTGACATATTCTACCTACATAATAAAATCTAATATAAGTAGTACTTACTGTAATTAATAAGTATCTAAATCGTGAATTAATTTATATAGAATAGATAACTGTTTATTATACATATCAATCTATTTTAATTTAATAGCTACTGGAATTATTCATTATTGTTAGAAATTAATTCATAAAATAATAAAATATTACACATGATTTTAATTTATTTTTAATAAATCTAACCTGACTGATTTCATTTATATTTTATAATACTGTTTACCAAGTACATACATAATTTTGATCCCATCGTTCGTTAAAGAAATTCTAACATTTCTAAAATTAATAAATTGTAGATATGCACAAGGTTTGAATATAAAATACAGCTCATACTTTAAGCATTTTTACATAGATGTCTCTGACGTAAATACTGTTTTACAGCGACATCTATTAGAGCTTTGAAAACTTTTCAAGTATAAAAACTTTCTTTTCACAACGGTAGATGGTAGTAGGTACTATGCTAAGATATCTGATATACATTATTTATGGTAGAACAAACCACCAGAAGAATGGCGGATTAGAGAAATTTAATGTGGACTCTAGAAATGAAATGTTATAAAAATATTCGATTGAGCAAGGGTGACAGAAAGATACCTGAATAGAATCGAAATAAGTTCTTGCAAAATATATATAAATAAATATAGATTTCAAACTACAATAAGGAGCGAAACTGTGCGATCCTGTTATTGGATCACAATTAATTTCTATAGTAAACCAATAGGACTGACAAATACATTATTGCGCAACCCACACAAAACTGCGCCGATCTCATTATTTAAACATAAATCTCAGGACTAATATAAGGATATACTATGTTCCAAGCTAAGCAGTGCTTGAGTTATGGCTAATAACCAAATTATTATATATATTACAAAAAAAAGTATATATGTAATTATATCATTACATTGATACATTTTTTGTAAATACACATATATACATACATAATGTATACAGAAAACACCCAAACCGATACAAACAATCATACTCATTATTTTACAAGGTTGTACTGTGCGAGCAATCGAACCCGCGACAATCGGAATTAAGGCGGTGTACTTAACCGTTAGACCACTGAGGCCGTCTAATACCTATATACCTAAGTATAGTAAACGAGTCAATGGACGCAGGTTATTCAAAATTCTTCTACATTGCTTAGTCGTCTATGATGGAATTCCATCCCACCTCCGCTGGAGACTACCAAGAGATATATATATACAATATAGAGATATATATATATATATACGACAGATGTACAGACATTATAAATATTCATATATATATACTTCCCAATCATCTTATTTCCTGAATTTCTAGAATCTTATCTACTAATAATACACGCTAAGTCTTTGTTTAATACCAATAGTGAAAGTTTCCCACTGCAATTGAAAATCTAATAGATAGAAAACTGTTTTTATGTAATACATCGCACTATTCTGGAAAAAGGAAGTAAGTGATTTTCACCAACTTTTCAGGAGTTAAAAAAAACTGTCCTATATTTTTTGTATGAGTTCTAGAAATAAGTTTCAAAGAGAAAATCGTAGGTCACAGTTGCCTTCAACTACATGTGCTATTTAATTTAGGAACAGCTTCATGTACTTCCAGATAATCTAAAAAAACACGGTTACTTCTGTATTCCACGAAACACAAAGAACATTTGCAGGGGTAACTACAATTATTGCTTTTTTGTTATGTATTTTGAAATATATGAACAAATTTAACTCTACTTACGCCTTTATACTTTTCTATATTTCATTATAATCTAGAGTTGCAAGTATAATTACGTTGTTATTTAACGGAAAATCATTTTTTGTACATCGAGTTACGTATTTCTAGGGAGCTATTTATTTTAGTTTAATTAGTGTATTTATAAAAATAGCTTTTATAATGCGGAAAGTAACTGAATATTTAATTTGTATCATGTAATACCTACTTCTTATAGTATATAGTCCATTATGTGCGTGCATGTAAGTCAAAAGTATAAATATAGGGTCAGATTAATTTAGAGAATATGAAAACAAGCAGGGTTATTATTATTTTTTTATTATTTTTAAAGAAATGTTTATTGCCTCCATAATCAGCTTAATCAAAAAATGTTCAAAATAGTGATATTTTTATTAACCTTCATTATCCTCAACTTTGGAATCGGACTCTGTGGTAGCAGATTTAGTACTTAAGCTCTTATAAAAAGTCTGATAGTGTGGTGGTATGTTATTATCTTTATATAGATTCATCAAGTCTTTGTATATATTTTAGGTATCGGTAGCGGCGCATCATACTAATGCCTGATTTCAGAAGGCTCGCTGTGTGCAGCTCTTTTTTTCTCATAACTCTTCCGCTTCTATTTGTCTACAATGATTGGTGTCTCGTCAGCGAATGCGTATTTTATTTGGAATTTCCCCGAACATTGAGGATCTGCCGAAATCTCTTTAATATCGTGTAGTAAATATATTAGGTCCTAACATATGAAATTTGTAAGGGTGTAACTCCCTTACAAAACGCCAATGATTTTTCAAAATATAATATATTTATTTAATTAAAAGATACATATATACCATTGCTATTTATGCACTTTTGCCATCCCATAGGTAGTTTTATTGATCCTTTTACTAAAAAACCAATAGACGGGAATCGATAAATCGGACTTGAATTTTTTCCCTTGCAAGAAATTATCCAAATTTTGAAAGAAAGCAGCAAGATCCGGGAAGTACGGTGGATATATTGGACATTTGAAGCTCTTCTAATTTCGTAACGTT